AAAAAAAAAACCACAACCCAGCCAAAGAGCAGAAGGGGGAAGAATTTATTATTACTCGCAACAAGTAAAGAGAACACCAGGAATCCTTCCTAAAGCAGTGTCTCCTGGAACAGCAAAACTGGGAAGCTTTTAAGCTAAGGGTACATGCATATTCAGAAAGTGGCCTGGCTGGTCGCCAGAGTCCCAGCTTTAACAGATTAAAGTAACCAGGGTCAACACCATCATTCCATCCTCCACCTGTGTGTGTGCTGGCGGGGGGGGGGGTGCCTCATTTCTTGCAGAACTCAAAGACATGTATCAGGTTAGGTATATCTCTTGAGGAGCAACTAGAACTCTGTTTTATCACCGAACTATTGGTGCTTCAGTGCTTTTCCTTTTTTTCTGCATTCCTCACTTCCCTTAAGATCATTAATTACTGAGACCCGTTCAAGGGCAAGCACTGTGGCCAGGCTTAGATCACAAAATGGCTTAGACCACAATGGTGCCCCTTATGTCAAGAAAGCCATGCTTGGTTCTCTTTCTCCAGAGACCCCCTACCCTATCTGCTTACACAATGGCTATATCCAAAAACAAAAACAAACACACACACAAAAACCCAAAAGAACCCCATTATAACAAAGGTTGGCAAGGATGTGAGAAACTGGAACACTCAAAAATCACTGGTGTAAAGAGTGAAAACGCTGCAGCCACTGAGGAAAGTAGTTTGGGAGTTCCCTGAAATGTTAACCACAGAGTCACTGCAGACCCAAGTAACTCTCCTAGGTACACACCTGAGAACTGAAAATGCATGTTCATAAAAGCCTGTCATGAATCTTCACAGCAGTGTTACTTACAATAGCCAAAAAGTGGAAACAACACAAATGTCCATCAAATGACGAATAATTGATGAATAAAATGTGGTGTATCAATAAAACAATTATCAGTCACAAAAAAGGTACAAGTATTGACACAAACTACATGGATGACCTTTAAAAATATCATGCTAAGTGAAGAAGCCAGTCAGAAAAGACCACATAGTGTATGATTCCATTTACATGAGACGTCCAGAACAGGCAAATTCACAGACATAGAAAGATTAGGGCTTGCGGGGGAGGGGGGATAGGGACAGGAGTGCTAACCCGGAGTTTATTTTGGGGCTGATGAAAATGTCCTAAAGTCAACTAGGAACATGGCTGTACAACTGTGAATATACTAAGAACCACTGAATTTTCATTTTAAATGGGCAGATTGTACGACATGTGAATTACACCTCAATAGAGCTGTTTAAAAACTTCATTCACGATTAAACCAGACAATACTCTGGAGGGTCCTGCTGAGTACAGTTAGGCAAGACAAAGAAAAGCAATTGGAAAGTAAAACAAAATAGTTAGCTACACAGAAAAATTAAGGAGTCTACAGGAAGATTATTGCAATTGGTAAGACTTCAGTACAGATGTCATTCACAAACTCATCTAAAAACAAAATTTTAAAAGACACCACTTACAACAGATTGAAAAAATAAAAATTATCTAAGAATATATCTAACAGAAGACAGAAGGACTCAATGGAGAAAATCATAAAACCCTACAACAAATATTAAAGATTTAAATAGAGAGATATGCCAATAATACCAATTTGTAAGATTCAACATTAAGATGATTTCACCCCAGAATGAAGTGTAAATTCAACTCAGTCTTTTTTTAATTGGTGATGTGATTTTGCTTTCATTTTTTTAAACTTCAAAAAATGTTATTGAAGAATAGTTGATTTATAGTGTTGTCTCTGGTGTACAGCATGATGATTCAGTTATATATACACATATATAATTCCTCTTCACATTCTTTCCCATCACAAGTTACTACAAGATCTTGAATATACTTCCCTGTGCTATACAGTAGGACCTTGTTGCTTATCTATATTATATATAGTAGTTTGTATCTGCTAATCACAAACTTCCAATTTATCCCTCCCCATCCCTTTTCCCTTTTGATAACTGTAAGTTTGTTTTCCATGTCTGTTTTGTAAGTAAGTTCATTTGCATCTTATTTTTTAGATTCCACATATAAGTGATGTGACTTTGACTTCACTTCACTTAGTATGACAATCTTACTTCACTTAGTAGGACGATCTATGGTCTATTCATTTTGCTGCAAATGGCATTATTCTTTTTTTTTAATCACTGAGTAGTATTCCACTGTATGAATATACCACAACTTCTTTATCCAGTCATCTGTTGATGGACATTTAGGTGCTTCCATGTCTTGACTGTTGTACACATTGCTGCTTTGAACACTGGGGTGCATATGTCTTTTCGAATTAGTTTTCTCCAGATATCTGCCCAGGAGTGGGATTGCTGGATCATACGATAAGTCTATTTTTAGTTTCTTCAGGAATTTCCATATGGGTTTCCACAGTGGCCGCACCAAACTACAGTCCCACCAGCAGTGCAGGAGGGTTCCCTTTTCTCCACAGCTTCTTTAGCATTTATTGTTTGCAGACGTTTCAATGACGGCCATTCTGACTGGTGTGAGCTGATACCTCATTGTACTTCTGATTTGCATTTCTCTGACAGTCAGCAAAACTGAGTATCTTTTCATGGGCCTACTGGCCACCTGTCTGTCTTCACTGGAGAACTGTCTGTTTAGGGCTTCCGCCCATTTTTCATTCGGTTTTGTTGTTGTTGTTACTGTGTTGTATAATAGATTCTGGAAATTAAGCCCCTGTCTGTCACATCATTTGCAAATATTTTCTCCCATTCTGTAGGTTCTTTTTGTTTTGTTTATAGTTTCCTTTGCTGTGCAAAAGCTTGTAAGTTTAATTAGGTCCCATTTGTTTATTTTTGCTTTCGTTTTTATTGCCTCGGTAGATTGCCCTAGGAGAACACTGCTAAGATTTATGTCAGAGAATGTTCTGCCTGTGTTTTCTTCTAGGAGATTTATGATGCCTTGTCTTATGTTTAAGTCTAAGCCATTTTGAGTTGATTTCTGTGTATGGAGTGAGGGAGTGTCCTAGCTTCACTGATTTACATACGGCCGTCCAGCTTTCCCAGCACCACTTGCTGAAGAGATTGTCTTTTTCCATTGTATGTTCTTGCCTCCTTTGTCAAAGGTCAATTGACCATAGGTATGTGGGTTCAACTCAGGCCTTTTTTTTTTTTTGAGGGGAACATAATCAAGTTTATTTATTTATTTTTAGAGGAGGTACTGGGGATTGAACCCAGGACCTCGTGTGAGCTAAGCATGCGCTCTACCACTGAGCTATGCCCTTCCCCCTCAACTCAGTCTTAAAGCCCCAAATAGTTGTATATACATACATAGCTGAAAAGTGAAAATAAAGTAGAGGCACAAACGGCCAGGAATGGGCCAAGAATATGCTCCTGAAGAATAAAAGCTGGAGGGTCTGCCCTCTTCACTGTTACAACTTGTTACGTGTGAAGTAGCAGCAGTTACAAGTTACCAGTGATACACAAATAGCTAGCTTGAAAGGCACAGAGCAGAGCCTAGAAACAGACACACGCTAGAAATAACAATGCAGATCAATGGGAAAAGACAGCTGTTTCAATAAATGGTTCTGGACTAATTAGACATTCATATAGAAAATAATAAAATTGGACTCCCAGCTTCACATAATTATCACTTTCGCGTAGACTAAAGACTCAGTAACAAAAATTTTTTTTCATTTCAGCTTACTTTTATTTCCTCATATAAATGGGCACAGCAGGAGACGTGATTAAAACAAAACCAAAAACCCTAACAATTTCTTCACAAGGCTGGGACAAGTGAGCACCCACAGCTGGGCGGGTGCCTCAGTCCCTTTTTCCAGTCTTTTTCTACCACTTTTTCTTATTTAAAGTTTTGGCCATGAACTCGGGACAAATACGGTTAATAAACAGGTTATTTGAGAGACAAACTTCCATCTACCCCATGCCAGATTCTCAGAGAGCTCTGTGCAGGTAAGAGGCAAAACTGTGCCCCTGTGACACACACAGGGAGTCCCCCCACCCCTCAAGCAGGGAAGCACATCCTAAACCAGACAAAATCGGCCCCACCCATAGGGGAAGACCAGAGGTGTACACCTGTCTAGTTACAGCTAAGTTTCTGCGCATCCAAAGAGTCCGTGCAGAAAACTTAAAGTCAAGCCACACCTGGAAGACATCTGCAACATATATAACTGAGAAGGGGCTGCTAATCAACAACAAAAAATTCTGCAAAGCAATGGGGGAACAAAAGAGAATGGGGGAAAAAATTTGAACTGACAATTCACAAAAAAGATCAAATAATAAACACAGAAAAGATGCTCAACCACGCGCATACTCAGAACGGAAGACTTCAGCGGTGAAAACTAAAACCTCAGGGGCTGCAACTTGGATGACGCTGTCAAGGAAGGTGTCAACCGAAGACGACAGACACACCCACATCACTCACACGAAACACGACACGATGCACAACATTAACTTCAAATCACGCAAAGCCAAACTGTTCTACTGAAAAATGCATACACACAACTGGTTAAGTTATACAGAACGGCAGAGAAACGAACACCTCCCAAAGTGAGGGAGGGGCTGCGATGAGGAGGGGGAGGCGTTTTGTTCCACTTCTTGATCTGCATGGGAATCGCAGACGCCGGTGGCTCTGCTATTTTATTCGTCACACCGACAAACGTGCACGTTCGTACACGTTACCGACGGGAAGCAACTACAAACTGATAAAATGTAACAGTAACTGCAATAGTAGTTGGAGACCGTTTAAGCAAGCGTGGTGCCTCAACATTTAAAAAACACTTCGTTTATTTTGCGTGAAAAGCGATATAACTTACCGATCAGGAGAAAAACAGAAAACGGACCTCACGTGCCCACGGATTAGAAAGATGCAGAAACGCGCGTGGAAAGAAGCCTTAGAACACAGGGCGCCACCCCGGAGGGCACGAGTCCG